AATACAAACAGAAAATATTAATGAACAAAAAATATTAGAAATATTGTGAAAAAAGCGTGGGTTGTTCCACATTTCTCGTACATTGAGCACCCCACGCTTTTTTCACAATAATTCTAATATTTTTTGTTCATTAATATTTTTTCTATTTTGGTGTCATATCGAAGTCTTTTCGACACTAAAAGTAGTTTCGAAAAGAAGCTCTTTGTGACACTCCTTTTTTACTTATCGGAGTTGGTTGATTGATGGCCATTGAACTGTCATCATCATCATAAAATGACGTCTTATGAAACTTGTATTTTAATGTACTATTCTGTTTGTATTAAAAATTATTTTCCACTTTTTAGTTCAATTTACTATAAAAGCGTGTTTTTTAGTTTTTTTGAACTATATTTATTTTTCACTTTTTAGTTCGATGTATTATTTTGTTGTTCATTTTTTTATTTTGAAGAAAAAACTTTAATTTTATTTGTGTTTTGTTTATATTTTGCACTATTTATCTTTATGAACGGCTAGTGTGTCGCACCGCACCGGTATCACACTCACACTGAGTGTGTCTTTCCTGAATTGGCCCCAGAGATTTCCAGACTTTTGCAGTTATTATCCAGACTTATTCAGAGCTTTCCAGAGTTTTCCAGATTTCATCCAGATTTATCCAGACTTGTACAGACTGATCCGGATTCTGGAAAATGATCTCCAGGTCTTTTGGGACCTTTTCCAGAATTTTTCCGACCCTTTCAAGAAGTGTCCAGGCCTTTTCCAGATGTTTCAAGAGATTTCCAGACTTTTCCAGACAATATCCAGACTTATCCAGTTTTACAGACTTCATCCAGATTTATCCAGCCCTTATCCAGACTTGTACAGACTGCTCCAAATTCTAGAAAATGATCCCCAGGTCTTTTGGGACCTTTTCCAGAATTTTTTCCGACCCTTTCAAGAAGTTTCCAGGCGTTTCCAGATTTTTCCAGACGTTTCCAGACATTATCCAGAGCTTTCCAGAGTTTTCCAGACTTCATCCAGATTTATCCAGACTTTTTCAGACTGATCTGGATTCTAGAAAATGATCCCCAGGTCTATCGGGACCTTTTCCAGAATTTTTCCGACCCTTTCCAGAAATTTCCAAGTCTTTTCCAGATGTTTCCAGAGATTTCCAGACTTTTACAGACAATATCCAGACTTTTCCAGAGTTTTACAGACTCTATCCAGATTTATCCAGACCTTATCCAGACTTTTACAGGTTGATCCGGATTCTGGAAAATGATCCCCAGGTCTTTTGGGACCTTTGGCAGAATTTTTCCGACCCTTTCCAGAAATTTCCAGGCTCTTTTCAGACGTTTCCAGAGATTTCTAGACATTTTCCAGGCTTTATCCAGATTTATCCAGACTTGTTCCAGCTCACTTCACTTGTTCCAGGTTCTTGTTCATACACTTCCCAAGGGTCCAAAAGTTCGCTCGCATTCCTATGTGCCCGTGCGATAAACATTTTCAATGTTACTTACAAACATACATATAAACATACATACAAACATACATACAAACATACATACAAACATACATACAAACATTATAGACCTCCGTTATTACCACTACATACTTTCTCTGAATTCCTGGATAATAAGCTTGAAAACCTAGAAACAAAATATTTAAATTGTTTTTTTCTTGCTGACATGAATATTGATATTTTAAAAAATAGAAACAAGTAAATGTGACTATTAGACATTTTTAAAACTAATAATTTTGAATCAGGGTCGGCGCAAGCGATTTTTGCGCCCTAGGAAAATGTACTTTCTGCCGCCCCCATCAAGTAAAAATACAAATATGCATGGCTTTTTTTTGAAAACATGTTTTATAGCTTTATCAATGATTGTACATAATATACAGGGTGAGTCCGAAATAAGTGCGCATTTTGATATGATAGATAGAGTATAGTAGGACAATCACTTTTTGTATCGGAACATGTGTTCGCAAACCTCTCGTTAAGAAAATACATAGTGTTGATATTTTCGGAAAATTTTGACTTTTTGCCTTTAGATTCAAAATGCCTTCAGCGATTTTGTTCAAATTTTCAGAGATATAATATGATATAAACTTTTTTAACTTCATTGTTTAGTTTCCGGTGTCATGTGAACAGAGTGGGGTAGATTTTCCACACAATACATTGATTTTAATTTTTTTATCTCGTAAATGTCGCATCGAACAAGAAAAACTCGGGATACCTTTTTTGTTTAAAATTAAACAAGGAATCAAAAAATCATTTTTAATTTTTCAAAAAGCACAGATGCGTACCACTTTTTTCTTTAAAAAAAATAAGAGTCGTTTAGATCCGGTCCTGGAAAAGTGGAACTGGAACGGATTTTTTAGAAAGATGCTTGAGAACATTGCAAACACTCTCTGAAAACTTGAACTAAATCGCTCAAAACATTTTGAATCTAAAGACAAAAAGTCAAAATTTTCCGAAAATTTCAACACTCCGTATTTTCTCAACAAGACGTTTGCGGACACATGTACCTATGCAAAAAGTGATCGTCCTACTCTATCTAGCATAATAAAACGCGCACTTATTTCGGACTCACCCTGTAGGTATACCTGACTTACAGAATATAGATTATAGAATATCCACATAAAAAAAATTTATACACACATGCCCGCCGCATGTGCCGGCGAAGGCGAAAAAAATCCTGTTCTGGTGCCACGCCCAAAACGTTAATTTTGTGTTGTTTTTGGCCGCCCGCCACCAGGTCGCACGACCCCTAGCGACTAACAAAAACAGGTATAGCAGTATGTGCTCATAAGAAGGGGAAAGGGCAAAGTTTGTGTTTGGGTTTGCAAGAGAAATGAAATCCTGAATATTATGAAGAAAAGCAGAATTCAAAAGATTTTTTTTTTGTTGCCTTTTTGCCGCCCCTTTAAGTTTGCCGCCCTAGGCGGTCGCCTAGTTCGCCTAATGGTTGCGCCGACCCTGTTTTGAATAGTGTAATAGAAATAGACCATATTGTGACAAACTCCAATAAAACGATCAATATCTATTCTAAAACAAGTCCGTTGAGTGATCACAAAATTCAAATAATTCACATTTCTCACATTTTTGATAAAAATATTATTGAACCAAAATACAAAACCATTACTATATAGCATTAGGTTTGATACCTTTGATACTAATAATCTGGAAATGAAGCTTTTGGATTTGGATTATAGAAAGATGGAATATAACCGATCCAAATAATATATTTTATGATAAAATTTCAAATGCATTTGAGGAGACAGCTTCAACAAAAAATTCTAAAATTAAATCAGAATCAAAACCATGGTTTAACAAAAATTTAGCAAATGTTACTCATAACCATCAACAAAGATAAGCTGTTGTCCGATAACAAAAAATGCAGTGAGAAGGCGATTCAAATGTCTAAATTCTAGTACCGCTATGTACTTTTGTCCCTAAAAAACATATAATTTGACGTCCTAATCACGTTCATAGGTTTTAGAAGGCGAAAAATCAGTTAATTTCGGGTTTCTGACCGCCATCTTGAATATCTCACTTCGGGTCGCGATTTCGAATTGGTAACAGGCATTTTTGGATTCTGCGGGGCCAAATTACCTAAAAAATACCTTCACCCTAAAAGTAACACGATTTGTTTCTAGAACCTAATTTTTTCGGTTTTGTCTATAGAGTCAATCAGTTCAATAATGGATATTCACGATACAAGTGAGTTAACAGCATCATTAAGATACGCGTGTGGTTACACAACTCGTGCTACGCACTCATTGTGCAATTATTTCGTCCAAATATGATTATTCCGGAAGTTATACAAATATTAAGTTTTGCATATATAGATATACTGAGCATGTGCGACGTCACTAATTTATATGATAAGTGACGTCATAGGTATATTTCATAGCGTTGTATCTCCGTCAATTTTTGACTAAAAAGAAAAAGAAAAAAAACTCGTGTTGACTTATTTTTCATAGACTATCGAAATCAGCGATAAAAAAAATGTATGCAAGTACCAAGCAAGTACCCCATTGTATTACCTATTCTTAAAACCAGCTACCTGAATCACCTCAATACCTTTTGTTCAAATAACAATATAAACTTGACCAAATTACCATGAAAACACGATAACACCATGCATGGTTTCATATCAATAATATTGATACTATTCAAAAACCTAAGAAAGAGTGAGGTAATAAAAATGCGTGAGTTAAGAAGCTCTTAACTCACTCGAAATGCGTGAGTTAAGAGCTTCTTAACTCACTGGCGTAGATAAAAGCTATTACGGTTTATGAAGTGAGTTTTAGTGAATCCGGAATCCGTGATAATATCATATACCTAGAGAGACGGAGACGACGGAGAGAAAGTAATGAATTTTCGGAGTTTTTTGAGAAAACCTGTGAAGGGAACTACTGACAATGGAAAACAGATTCTTCAGCACCAAATTGTACCTAGCTGTTCTTGGACGTTTTTTGTGTATACATTTCTTTCATCTACCTTAATATTTCTTTGGAAAATAAAGGGATTTTTCAGTTTCAAAAAATCCTGCTCTAATTTAAAAAAGAACGTTAAGACAAAATTTGTTTATTTTACGAAGAATAATGTTTTTTGTTTAAAAATTTCCTTCATATCTCGCCCTATTTCCATTACCATGCAAAATAAGTGTGAATTTTCTTAAACTTTGAAAGTGTAGACATGCCAAACATGAGGCAAGTGAGTTCAGTGTTTAAGCTTTCAAAAAAGTTATTTCAAAATAATAACGTCAAAATTAATATTATTGTAGAATTCAAATTCGGTATAAAATTTTGTATTTTTTTCCATAAAGATTGGTTATTGGTGTATTTTGTAGATAATATAGGTATAATTTTTTTCGCTAAATGAGCAAATCACCAAGATATTTTATAAACTCACCTTCAAAATAACTCAAAATTATTTTTAAACTTCCATTTTCGTTTAAAGGAGCTTTTTTTAGCTCTCAATTAGTTACTGGACCAATAATGATAATAATTCTTACCTGCTTCGATATAAGTAATAAACTCCTGAGTCTCGCAATTTCAGCCCTCAATTCCCGAATAGTGTTTTCCCTGAAGTCTTCCACGATTACGGGTTTGTAGACGATAAGTTTGGCGCGTTGCCCGAAACGTAACGTATTCACTGTTTCATTGTAATAGGTGCTCGATGGAGAGACAGCTAAAAACGAGGAAAATACACATTAAAAAAAAAAAAACTAAAAGAAGGAAATTCAAAACTGTTAAAAACACACACACATGAACGTGAACTATTTATACTGTAATATCATAGTATAATATAGATTTAATGGGTCGAGTAGTCCATATCGCATGCAAAGTAACCATCAAAATAACAAGCTTTGAAGCCTTGGCATGTTGCCAGTGTGTAAAGAGCCGTTTTTATCTCCTTTACAATTAAATGCTTAATATGAGTTTGGGGTTCAGGTACATGCCAATTAAATTAAATCAAATTATGTCACTTACTTGCAATCATTACTGTATTTGAGTTTCCCTGGAGGGTGTCTTTTAAAAGCCATGTTAAAACTGAGTCTCGATACGGAACAAATTTGTTTCTTGAGTTGAAGGAACTTCGTGATTGGTCGGCTGAAACAAAATAACAGTTTGGAATTTTGATCCTTCAATAATTTTTGTTTAGACAATTCCCTATGAGAAATCTTCAATAAACATTGATCTTTTAACTCGTCAGATTACTCCTATCAAGATTAAAGATTAAATACTATTATACCGTATTATTCTAGTCATTGAGTAGGCGAACATAATATTCGGCATACATCAATAAGTACAAAATACAGTTTTAAGAAGGCTGGTACTTCATATTTTTAGGGTTTCGCCAGAAAAATCAATGCATATGCATACATAATTGCTGTTTCAAATGACTCATTAACTATTATATGATTCGAAAACCTAATCAGATGATACATATTTCGAAAAAATCCTTCGTGTTGATAAACTTGCAATCAAGACTATTTTCATATCTTCTAAGAGTTGAAAAGACAAAAATTAATATTATCTAATACCTACCAAACACTATTTTACCTGAAAATCAAAATGGATGGGACATTTCTAAATATAAAAGAGCACTCTCCATTTCGGTACATACTTAGTAGGTAATTAGTGAACTTTAGTTAATTGCTGAAGGTTTCCAAACAAAAAAATAAATCGTTTGTTTGAAAATATGTACAGTGTAAAAATACTTACAAAAAGTCTAAGAAAAAAATGGATATTAATACGGAACGGACTCGAAACTGGAAGGAACGTCTAAAAGTCGCGACTGGAATAGACCACGAAGAAATTTTAAAAGGGGCGTCGATCCAGCAAAGTATTTGGATCTAAAAATGTCCTCCGAAAATAATACTGACTTGGATTTGTGCTATATAGGTGACAAGTTCCAGAGGCGTACAAGATTTATGCAATTTAAATAAGCCCATTGATAACAACTATGCATCTTTTATGGTAATGGTAGAGGGAGAAGCAATTCAAATAATTCGGGAAACCTTTTTTAGGCGTGGAAGACCTTAATCTGAACAAATTCAATCAAACACGTCCTTTGTATATTTAATTTCATAACGCCCTCATCAAAACTTGATAATTTTTAGTTAAATTTTTAGCTATAATAATTTTTATTAATTACCATTGGCATTTATTTATAGGTATGTACTTAATTGAGTACAACGTACCTTGCAACACGTATTATTTGTAAAATAAATGCCATTCATAAAAATATAACTCAGACAGTTTTCTGCAATATTATAACAGTTTTTCAATTATATTCTAGTTAAACTTCAAGAACTTGATTCGTGTTAAGTTTTTGGAATTTCAATTCCAAACTTAACTCTTACGCCACTGGCCTAAGACATAAAATACGAAAAATTCCATTTGAAAAGAAAAAAAAAGAAAATCTCCAGTTTAAAAATAAGTTATCCAAACAACTTTATTATTATATTACACAGTTTAATAGTTAAAATGCCTTTCCACATCCTACATGCTAATAAATTTGCAAACTTTGTAACTTCTTAGATTCTTCCAATTTGTGTAAAAGTAGGTTACTCATTTCCATATCGAAAATTGCAATCAACACGATCACTTGTGAACTCTGTCCTTTCCTGCAGCCTTTTTCTTGCAGAACTTCAGCATAGTCTTTGGCTTGCATGTCGGGGACATCTAGTGACCCGAACACCGAATCACAGGGTAAACGAAGCCTCCTTTCAAACAAAACTTTGTGGTGTAATTCCTGTTGTGGTATGTATAGCTGACCTGTATGCCATGAGAAATAGAAGTATATGCTTATCCCAATCATCCTGATGCTTGTCAACTTTTTGAGAGATGTTCCTCCATTGTCTTGTTGAATCTTTCAACCATGCCATCTGATCTGATTGTGGATGCAATGCCGTAGTCCTGGTCTTGTGAATACCTAGTAGTTCACAACGTTTTTGAAAAAGTTGTGACTCGAAATTGTGCCCTTGATATGAATGAAGTTCCAATGGGATTCCAAACCTAGTGAAAATATTGACGAGGACTTTTGCAACTGTAGATGCTTCTTGATTTGAAATATCCAAAACTTTTGAACACTTGCTGAAATAATCCATGGCAACCAAGATTTATTTATTGCCAGTCCGCGTAGAAGAAAATGAACCGACTACGACTATTCCCATTCATTTGAAAAGCATCCCCACGTTGTACTGCTTCATTTGTCCCTTAGATCATGTTTTGGGTCCTTGACTTGCTGCGCATCTCGCACATTGTCGGCACCATGTCTTTTTTCTGGATTCCTTTGGATTCAAAAATGGCTTTGTAACGGTTTTTGATATGAAAATTGTACGGCTGTAACTTCTCCAGCCATCTTGCTATCTGTCCTTCTGGCAGGGTTGGACGAACTTTTGGAAGTGGGCCGGGAAATTTTAGTCTAGCGGCCCATACATCATCACCCAGTGCCGGCTTTACCTGATTTACCGCCGGGTGCAATTCAAATCAATTTCATGCTAAGGCCCGGTTTATTCACCTTTAAATAAACTTGCTGGTAACTATCTGCAAGATAGATTTACCGTTCTATAATTCTATTGGTCGGCGGATAATTGGCCTACCAGTGAGATTACAGATTGCGTTTTCATCCGTCAGATCGCATACCTGACAGTTTATCAGAAGGTGAATAAGCCGGCTCTAAAGAGTGTTATTAATTAATCTGATTTGAATTCGCTCTTACTTTCTTTATATGCCTTAATAAACAGAGCATCTAGACGCCGAGTCTTTTCCAATACTTTTTTTAAATTTTTGTTATTTCCAAAAAGCACCACCTTCCTTTTTCTTCATTTTATCAGCTTGAACAGCCAGAAAATAAATATAAATACTGTCACGGATTCCGGGTTCACTAAAACTCACTTCACAAACAGTAACAACCTTTATTAAACTTATTGACTTTATACATAATTCACACACGCTCTATTTATATAGACGAAATTGCACTCGGGATTTAGCTAGAAAACATCGAATCGAATATAATAGAATTATAGAAAAAAGCGAATTAATTTCTTGGAGTCCTGACGCCGCGATGTCATTGCATTATCGTAACACTGCCTCCCTTCTAAATCAGATCATCCTGATCTGACTACCAAGACGCACCACGTCTATCTCCACTCAGATCCATAATGACTCAATTTTTTCTCTTGTCTAACATCACTATGCCTGTCTAAGTGGACTGCGACCTGAACGCAGCGTCTTAAACCGCTTGGCCATCCTGACTGCCCACATCTATCCTCATGTATGCATGGCTCTTCTTCCCTTGAATTTACGTCATGGAAACTAGATAAATGCGGCTATCTGTATGCTGTTGATTGCTTCTGAAACTCTTCCGCATTTATGTTGATGTCCGGATAGGCGAAATTAACTAGATGGCGGATGTCGGTTTCAAATCCTTGTAAGCTGTCTGTTGCTTTTTGTTGCCTAGTTCTTAGTTTTACCTGGTAAAGCTAAAGCTGCCTTCTGAATACCGTTCGATTTTTTTATGATTTCTATTTTGACTAATTTTCTTAATTTACCGCCTCTTAAATTTTGCCGCCGGGTGCATTAGCACCTCTGCATCACCCTAAGGCCGGCACTGTCATCACCCCTAGATGTGATCTAATAATATTTAAGTGTTGAAAACTGAAAAGCATTTTTCGCACCCTACTTGTGGGCACGCTGTAGTGAAGACATACTGGTAGGCCCTAAATATGTCTGTAAGCACGGATGTAAAATCTGTATTAAGCACGGATGTAAAATCTGTATTAAGCACGGATGTAAAATCTGTATTTTTAGTCATACAAAACCAAACATTGTTTGCAGCGTAAATGTGAAGAACCCTTTTTTTTGAAAAATCCATGCCCTGTATCTAATCCAGTGTCATTTACATCATCTTCATCTTCATCGTTTGATTCAGGGAGATCATACAACTTAAATCATTTAAAAACTTTAATTCATTTCCTATATCATCTCATCATTAAATTCAGGGAGGTCTTACAGTTCCGACTTTTTCAAGCACAGTTTTTTCAAGTCACCTAGGTATCTTATTTTATTTGAATCATCGTCTGGCATTAGTTCGGAAAAATTGATTTTGACAAATTAGCACAAAACAAATATCTCTATGCCTTGAATAAGATGCCTCTATTTTTATTATGATGTGATCATTGGCCACATCGCGTATTTACACCTGAAATTTAAAAATAGCAGTAGCCGCTTCCTCCCCTGTTGCTTCTTTCTTTCATTCATTTGCTTCCACTACTGTATTTGCCCATTTGACATTTTTAGCACTTTCTAATATTTCTTCCATGTTGCGTTATTCCTTTTTCAGTGCATCATGAATTGAAATGACCATTCATTCTTTGTGCTTTCATAAGGTCTGTTCTCACAGAAATCACAAACCAGTCAAATATCATTGGTAGAAAACTGTTTGTTGGCGATTTGCACCAATCAAAAACGCTCTGACTGGGTTCGTGATTTCTGTAAAAACAGACTTTATATAGAGATCGTCCGTTTAAAGGTATCTTGATAAAGGTTCTGTTGTTCTAAAGATCGGCCCAAATTCTGATCGGCCCACCGGGAATATCCCGGTATCCCGGTGGGTTCATCCAACCCTGCCTTCTGGTTGTTTAATGTTTGGAAGCCATCTCCGTGATGCAGTCTGTTCTAATGAGAAATTCTTGTCCATACAAATGGTCAACCGCATTGAATATTATGCCAGTTCCTTTGTTGTAACTTGTAACGCAGTAATTTCTCTCGGGTTTAGTAAGCACTCTACTGTGATATTCAATGACCCTTTCCACCTTGTAAATACAAGTCGCAAATGCGACAGAAAGTTTTTTCCCATCACGAATAAATACATCATCCAGGTAGAAGACAAGGTGAATTTTCCTAGTAGTACGATTTCCATCAATCTCTCGACCTCTCAAAATTAGCGGGGGCGTTACAGAGTCCAAAAGGTATTAACTTGAATTGGTAAAGACCACTTCCAGTAGAAAAGGCTATTTTCTCTTTCTCGTCAATGTCCACCTGCCAGTATCCACTTTTTAAATCCAAAGTAGCAAACCAATTTGAGTCTGCTTATGTCGTAA